GGTTTTTTTTGCCATTTTGGTTGTGTAGGTGAAATCCTACCAGACTGGCATGCACACCCAATGCAATTGCATTATTTGCACATGAATCAATATGTAAATAATAATAACTAGGTACAGTTCATTACATTATAGTGTTTGTAGAAGACAATACTTCTGAAAGAAACCTGAGCCCTATTTAATCTTTAAAGATTCTCTTCATACTGTTGCCTCATTTCAGCATACATGAACAGTATTACATGTGAGTTTAGGGCTATTTAACCAAGGAACCTCCATCTTTTCTTATTTGGTTGAACCTGACCCCTTCAAAGGAGGTCAGAAGTTCAAATAGTCTTCTGAAGAAAATTGCAGAATATATATCCTGCTGTACTTGCCTATAATATCTTTAACTAGCTGCTGGGTGGCAGCCATTCGAGGTTTCGGCGTGTCCAGCTTCTCACATTCATGGTCTGATTGATGGCAATGTCTGTAAACAACAGCATAAAACTTTTAATACCTTTTCCATACACTAATGAACGAGTATTTATGTTTAAACACTCAGTTCCACTCACCTCAGGCAAAAATGTTTTTCACAGTAGGGACATAAAACTGGCAAAAGCTCCTTTCCATTGCAGCCCTTGTATGAGCATGGGTAAGACCTGTGCTGATCAGGTTTTACAGAATTGTTTCTTATATTCACCTAGGCATTAGTACAAAATATTTTGTGTCAATAAACAGACACTACAGATACAAGTCACCATCCATCTTTCCCAAAGAACTGTCCTAGCTCTCCATTCTATTCTCCTGCTTTTGTCATGGTTATGTTTAGCTCAGAGTTAGATATAGAACCATCACTCTACTCAGACTCAATTTACTTCTGAGAGGCAGAAAAAGAGTAAATTCATTTTTTTAAGCTTTTCACATTCACAGTTAAATAATGCATACTTATATATGTATTCATGTAGTCTGAAAATATACAGCTAAGTTACATGGAATTATAATTTTAAGGCAGGTCATATATTATTAGATTACCTCAGAACACCCATGAGCATCCCGGCTCCTGTGTTGAAGGCTTTGTGGAAAAAGAAGAAAAAGAAACATTTCAGGAAAAGAAAACCATATGTGAAAACACTGAACTATTTAAAGAGTGATCTGACCAGTTTTATCATGGGAACACTTCAGTTAGATAATGAATCTTCTATGAAGTTTTTTTTAACCTAGGAACTTCACGTCTTGAATGACTGACTGATCGTACTCTTCCTCCGTTTATAAAACATTTAGCTCTTGGAACTTATGCCTCAAGAAAATGAACCATTTCAATAGAATAAGGACATTAGAACCTTAGGATTAAAGGGTGGGCTCAGTTCCGCGCACACTGTGTCTCACCTAAAAAATCCAATGCGCAGGCTGGAAGGTGTAAAGGTTCATCTGCCGGGGCCAAGCACGCTTGGACGGTGGCAGCGAGGTCCTCAGGACGTAGATGGATTGCCTTATGGGCTAACGAGCTCCATCTGCCCGGGGAGGGGCCCTGACCAGGACTTGAAACCAGGTCTCTGCGGTGACAGTGCAGCGCCTTTCCCCTAAACCACCCTTTTAATATGTTATAAATGATCTGGACACACATTAAGTTTGCCACCAATACCAAACTAGGAGTAGCTGTGGAGCCCTGGACGGTGAAGTCTTACAGACAGATTCTCGATAAACTAGAGACCTGAGGAGTCACCAACTGCATGAAATTTAGCAAGAGCAAGTGCAGGATTCTTCACCTGGGATGAAGTAATCCTGGTTATACATACAAACTGGGGGATGAGAGGCTGGAAAGCAGCCCTGCAGAAAGAGATCTCTGGGTTTGGGTCGATGGCAAGTTGAACACGAGCCAACAATGTGCCATGACAGCCAAAAGGGCCAACCATGTTCTGGGGAACACCAAGCACAGCACTGCTAGGTGACTATCCAAGCTGTACAGCACACTTGTGCAGCCTCACCTTGAGTATTGTGAGCAGTTTTGGGTACCACAATATAGGAAGGATGTCAGACTATTAGAGTGTGTTTAGAGAGTGACCAAGATGGTGAAGGGCCTCAAGGGCCAGACTTAGGAGGAACAACTGAGGTCACTTGGTTTGTTCACCTTGGAAAAGACAAGGCTGAGGGTGACCTCATCACAGCTTCTTCAAATGGGGCAGCAGAGTGGAAGGTGCTGAGCTCCTCTCTGGTGCCAGTACTGACATGAGGAAATGGAAAGAAGGTGCATCATGGGAAGTTGATGATGAATATTTGGAAAAGGTTCTTCACTGAGAGGGTGGCTGGGCATTGGAACAGGCTCTCCAGGGAAGTGGTGACAGCATCAAACCTGTCAGAATTCAAGGAGTGTCTGAATGACACTTAGTCGTATGGTTTAGTTTTAGTCCTGTGTGAAGCAGGGAATTGGACTTGTTGATTCTTACAGGATCCTTCCAATTTGAGGTACTCTAATGAACTTACCAAAAGACACCTGAACAGCCATCACATATAAAGGGGAGAAAATCTGAAACAAAGAGATTTGTTTTCAGTTAGCACGGTTTTTGTTTTGCTAGTAGTTTCTAGCTTAATTTTTGTGATTACCTTTTGCTTACCTATACCATAGCATAGGTATCTTTACAAGGATATTCAGCAACTGCATCCACACTTTACCTAGAAGTGGCTTTTGTAACACAATTACACTGTTAACTTCCCTAATCAGTAGCACTGTGAACGCTGAGACCCAGGTTCGAGTCCTGGTCAGGGCCCTTCCCCGGGCAGATGGAGCTCATTTGCCCGTAAGGCAATCCATCTACGTCCTGAGGACCTCGCTGCCACCGTCCAAGCGTGCTTGGCCCCGGCAGATGAACCTCAGGATTAAAGGGTGGGCTCAGTTCCGCGCACTCTGTGTCTCACCTAAAAAATCCAATGCACAGGCTGGAAGGTGTAAAAACCTTCCCCGGTTCTTCGTTCGCGAAGAGACTGGCCATTTTATTATTTATTTAGTACATAAAAACATATGAGTATGTAAATTATACTTACATACATTTCAGAAGTTGGAATTAGGCTTTAAATTAATTTTTTTAAAAATATCGAGCTTTGACACTGGAACATTTGGCTAGCCATCAAACTTACCAGTTAGTTATGCTAAAAATTCAATTTATTGTGAGACCACTCAGAATACTATTTACTGACATTGGACAATTTACATTTTTATTTTACAGGTTGCCGCCTGGAGAAGATGGCTGTTTGAAAGGGATAGCATCTCCTCCATTTGACAGGGCATGATGATCCTGCCCCTTCTTCTCTACCCTTCATATCATATCATACATAGCATCCTTGTAATTTAAACTGCACGCATGTTCACAACCCCTACCTACTGTATCAGTTCTTAGAGATAAAATCACTTTGTTGTCTGCTGAACTCAACCACATCACCAATGGCAGCAAATGCCCTCTACTCTAGCCCCTTACTTCGCTTCTCCATCCTTCAGATTTGATAGGGGACCACCATGAAACTGGATTACAGAGCTCAGGTCACGACGATTTCAGTCACTTCATCCCTGAGACCGAGTGGTCCCATCATAAAGCCTTCATTACAGGCGGTTTTGCTATCTCTTTCTGAGAGATCACATTTTCAGTGACACTTTCTGAGATCACTGAAGGCAAGCAAGGAGGAGGACCGGGAAAGCAGGGGATTAACCACTCAGGGATACAGCCGAGACGACGGGCCCTGGCACTGGGCCGCGCAGGGCTGCAGCAGCACGGAGGACTCCCCAAGCCGGAGGGAAGCACCACACAAGCCCCGCACCGCCCCTGCTCACCACCCCCGCCTCCGCCGCGCTCTCCCTTACCGAGCTGTCTGCAGTCGGGCACCCCGCAGTGCTGCCCCAGCTCCAGCTCCGCCATGGCCGCGGGACGCTGGGGGCGGGCGGGCAGGCGGCGGAGCGGCGCCGACGGGCGGGGCCGCGCTGGGGAGGGGCCGGCGGGACCCGCCCCGGGGCGGGGATGACGAAAGTCTGTCCGCCTGCTCCAAGCGGGAGTCTCAGCACAGGCGGGCTGAGGTGGCCCCGTAGGATCGGGAGGTGCCACAGCGCTGTCAGGAGTAGCTGCTTTGCCGGCTTCGGCGGAACCTGCGCTGGCGAGGCCATGTCGGCGCCTCAGACTCCAGTGAGCCCAGAGCCGCGGCTGGTGCTCCTTGGGCTGTTACAGGGGGAAACATGTCTCGTGTCTTGTTTCTGTCGCTGTTTGCGTCGTCCTTCGGGGCAGGGCCTCTGCCCGAGGAGGATGGGAGGCAGCCCGGCTTTCCGAGGCGCTTCTTGCATCCTATGACCTGCGGTTTCCTTAGCGGCGCAGCCGCCAGTTTTGTAAAAAGCCACGTTCCTTCAAAATTCGATGTTATTTTCCCAGCCTCGACACGCGTGCACACCTGTGCCTGAGCGCGCTGTGCTCCCCAAACACACCTTCCTGCGGCATGTGCCCAGTTCTATGCCTCTTAGAGCAAGAGAGACAAGAAGCTCCTGGAACCGATCCAGTGGAGAGCTACAAAGGTGATCAAGGGACTGGAGCATCTCTCTTACGAGGAAAAGCTGAGAGGGTTGGGCTGAGGAAGAACTTTACTGTGCAGGTGACCGACCATTGGAACAGGTTGCCCAGAGAGGCTGTGGAGTCTCCCTCGCTGGAAATATTCAAGAATCGTCTGGACACAATCCTGTGCTCCAACATGACCTTGCTCGATCAGGGAGGTTGGACCAGATGATCCACTGTGGTTCCTTCCAACCTTACCATTCCATGATTCTGTGACACGGGGGAAAAAGTCCGGGGGAAGCGCAAACTCGGCAGCCGCCTCCGCAGCGCGGGCACCACCCGCCCGGCCTGGGACCCCACGGCCGCCCCGCGGAGCTCCGCGGCTCCTCCCGGCGCTGGCGGAGGGCAGCGGTAGCTCGGCCTCTCCGGGGCCGCCCCCGGGCCCGCCCCGCCGCCAGGTGTGGTGCCGCCAGCCCTGGGCTCAGGAAGTGCCGTCACGGCGTGTGCCGGGCGGGGAGGTTCTTGCGGGCCGGACCGGGCCGGCCACATCTTTTAATCGGCGGGCGCCGAACCGGGACCGCCGCCATGAGCAAGATCTCCAGGTTTTTCAAGGGGGGCGGCTCGGCCGCCTCCAAGGGCCGCGGGGGGCCTTCGCCGCAGGAGGCTCTGGCCCGGTTGCGGGAGACGGAGGAGATGCTCAGCAAGAAGCAGGAGTACCTGGAGACGCGGATCGAGCGGGAGCTGGCGGTAGCCCGGCAGCACGGCACCAAGAACAAGCGAGGTGAGTGCTGCTCTCCGTCCCCGCCGGGCTTGCAAGGTTTTTAATCCCAGGGCTGGAGCGCCTCTGGATCCTGGGGTCTGTTCGGAAGGGGGGACTCGGGTCTCGCCGAGGCTGTGGCAGGACCGGGTCACCTGGCTCCGCAGGTGTGCTCCCAGCAAGTATTAACACACGCGAGGCGGGATGGTCTTTGGCATCTATTAGCGTTTAATGTACTGTGGATTCATTACGGTGGGGTGGTAGTAAGATGCTTTATTCCTCACTAATTTACTCTCTGTGGCTCCCTGTGCGTGTATCGGGTGGATACACGGAACGCAAAATACTGCTATTCAGTGTGGGGAGGGGATCAGAGCTTGGAGGTTGAGCATTGCGCTGGGCAGGTGGAAAAGGAGCTGAAGGATGTGAGGATCTCCTGTATTCATGAATAAATGCATATTATCCCTACTGGTGGCAACTGAGGAACAAACTGATTCAGTGATTTGCTTCAAATCACATAGGATATACATGATAAAACCAAAAAATGAATGATAGTTTAGAGCATTAGTGACTATCGGTCAGGGCTGCTGTTAGCTGCAAAGGAGAGGATGCTAAGGGGTAATAAGGTCTGGCTCATGCCTATACTGATGTTGTAGTCTCTTGGAAGCATATGATGGTAGTCAGTGTCTTGGGGATATAAAGAGCTTTGAAAAACAAGTTAATTACTTCCTGAAGTCAACTAAAAGGCCTGTTTGTCTACTCTGAGCTGTATTTTTATTTAAATGCTTTAAAATAGAAGGAAAATTAGAATTAAAGATTTCTGATGTAAGGACAAAGTAGCTTTTTGTCTGCTCTTTCTGTTACTTAAAAATTTAAAAAATAATGCTATGTAACAGAACTTGTGAGGAGCTGCATGTTAGAAGTGTTTTGGTTAGCCCTATTATGTATTTGTAATACTTTAGCATTTAATAACTATTAGCCAAAGGCAGTTTAACTTACCTAACTTTTAGTTAGAAAGGATTTAAAATCATCGGTCAAAATGGGACAGGTTGGAATGTACAGTCAGAGGGACTAAAGCCAGTTGAGCAGCACATCTAAGCCAGCTGCTCTGCAGCATGGGAGCTGTCAGGGTAGTCATAATCCCACGCTTTCTATTCCCCTGGCTTCAGCTGGAGTGTCTCTTGTTCTCTTGTCCAGGTACTGTCACCTCTCTGCTGTTGCAGTGAGCTAATTCAGGAAGGTGATCCAACTGGAAACTAATTTGCTATGGGACAAAACGACCAGATTGCTCCTGAGGCTGAGTTCATTGTGCAGAAGCCCAAGCTGCAGGGCTGATGCAAGAAAACAGGCTGGTTTTTTGACTGTAGCAATTCCTGGTTAAATTCAGACATCCTGCTCTGGAACTTCGTCCCAAACCTGGACTATAAGCTGGCATATTTGCAGGAGAAAGAAATGCTTCCTGCCTTACTCTTGCCCCTGTGCTGCTCCCTTCCTTTCCCTTAGCAGAGCTCCCTGAAGGGTGTGTTTCAGAAAGCTGGATACAGCTGTAAAATATTGTGGGGTTTTTTTGTCTGGGTTATCTTTTTTACACAGGCTAGTTTAAGACCTCCTTGTTCAGTTGACCTGGAAGCTGCATGGAGTGCTTGTGTACCTGCAAAGGAGAGGATGGTGCACAAGCAGGAATAAAAGCTTGTTGTTGGGAGAAGGTGAATTTGCTTCTCCTTTAACTCAGCTGGTTGATGCTGATTTCAGATATTTTGTTGGCCTTGTGCTTCAGGCATGCAGTGTTTGATATCTGAAGCTTTTCTTCCAGATCATTGTTTCCACTTCTGTGCTCAATATGTAGTTCCCCTGGTTTTTAATCTATGAAATTGTTCATGGAGTGATGCTACAAACTGGAGTGTTGAGCTGATCATAATTAAAAATAACTCCCTTTTATCTTCCCAGTTGCCAACAGTTAAGGACAGTTAAGAGGCAGGAGTAGGGCATGAATTGCAGTGTGACAGTTTTTTCCACGCAAAAAATGGTTCTAAAGCCAAAATGAAATAGTATGGTCAGAGGAGAAACAAGATAAACTTACCTTGCTGTGCCAAAGTGCTTGAATTAGCAGGATAATGAGTGAACTTAAATCCCCAATAATGTCTTCATTTGATATGTCAATTGCTTTACAGTTTAATCGTTGTTGATTTACATATAACAGCATATTACATACACTGTACTGTAATGAATAGTTCAGAGAAAATCTGTGCTAACCAGCACAAATGAAAGAATGAAGGTTTTAATCTACATTATTTTGTTAAAGGGAATGTTTCAAAGGGACTTCACGGGTAATTTTTAATGTGGGGGTGATTTTTTTCTTAATTTTTAATTTTTGTTTTAATTTTTCTTAATTGCATCTGTGGAGAAACCTGTGGAAACTAAAATGGGACTGCTCAAGACTGGAGTAAGATTTCTATCTAGAGATAGAAAATGTATCAAATTAGCATGATCTCATTTGATTTTTAGGTGCATGAGTCTGAGTCAGTAATACTAAAGCAGGAGAAGCAGATTCAAGCACCAGCAGTTTCTCATATGAGCTCATATGACTCTTGAATGAGTTCATGTGACATCAGTGGGCTTTACTTGATGTAAAAGCTGTAATGCATTAGCTATGCAAATAGATGTGAAACATCACTTAACTACTTCTGGCTTTTCCTTTATGAAGTGAGTATCTCCGCAGTTCCTGTACCTTGTTTGAAATTGGCTATTAAATACATTTCCAGCATTCCCCATTAATATCTTATTGTGGCTAGATGGCTTCAGGGTTTTTGAGACAAAACACTGTTTGTTGGAATTTGTCCTGCAGAGGTTATGTGATGATAAGCAGTATTTTTTTTCACAGTTTACACTGCCTTTTAATCTCTTCCCGTTCCACACACACTTTTTGTGTGGGCTTTTTTTTGTGTTTGTTTTGTTTTGTTTTTTTTATCTCTTTCTGTACTTTTTGGGGTATCTCAGTTTCAGTCAGTGCACAGCTGCCAACTCCATCAATGAGCTGATCTTTCTTCTGCATTATTTTGAAGGTCATACAGGAGAAATTAAAGGACAGAAAGTGATACTGAATATTTGAAAACTGTTTAAAAGGAAACATATTTTCTGAAGTGCACTGGTAACTGTGAAGATAACATACATATGAATGTGTGTTGTTTCAGCCTGAAGTCTCTCACAGATGGTAAAAAAATCCAAAACCAAACTAAATAAAAAGAATAAAGTTGAGACAAACCATCCAGAATAGGACTAAATTTCAACCGTAAAGAACCACCTAGTACTACTAAAGACAAAACCTTAGAAGAAAGTTGAAATAGCAAGGAAGGGTTTACAGGTAGATGCTGCTAACTATGTTGTGTGTTATGTTCATGCAGTGCTTATGTAGCCGTGTAGCATTCCTTTTCCATGAGGTACTTGTAACCAGGAGGCCACTGAAAGCAAACAACGGTGTGGCAGTTGTGTGTGCTATGGACAGAACAGTCATGCCTGTGGCAGGTGTGGGGCAGACTGGGAATGAGGGTTTCTGGCAGGGAGATAAGAGGAAGCCCTTAGTTGTGTCTTTGTTCTGTAGGTTGCAGCAATTGTTCTCTGATCTTCACAATCGTGTTTCAAGTGTCTTGCCATGAACTGGAATACTTATAACTAGTTCAGGACATTATTGCTCTTGAATTCAGGTGTAACTGTGTGTGGCTTCCTCCACAGGGCTTTAAGGATTGTGCATACTGGCAGTGAACTATGATTTTTATGGCCTCAGCAGCATTGCCTTTGGTTGCCTCTGGTGTAAGGGAGATGAGAATTTGCAATCCATTGATCCCTTGCAGGGCTGAAGTGGAGGTTTGTGAGCTATATCCAAGATTGAGATCCAGAATTTTCACAATGGTGTTACATCTTCTGAAGAAACACTTGTTTCCTTCTTCCTGGGAATTTTAAGGATTACTAGACAATCCATTTGTTTCTACTACAGAAGATGAGATTATTGGTGCTTCCTGTACTGATGGGTGGTGGTGGTGGCGGCATTGACAGGTATAGGTGTTGTTACCACTGTGCTCTCTTTTCATTATGATCTGTCATGAAACCATGAGGAAGGTACCACAGCTCTTCCTATTTCACTACTTTTGACCTTTCCTTTTGAAACCTGGATACTCAATGTGGCCAGGATTACTATTGCCCAGCTGGCCATTTCTTCTTCCTTAATAAAGTATCAGCATAGTAGTGATATTGGAAAAGTGCCCTTCTGTATGTTAATAATAATAGTTCATTCATATGCATACTTAAACTGACATAATAGTCTTCTGTTGTTCCAGGCACTTATCTTGACTATAAAATAAAAGCTCACATTAAAAGAATTTGTTTCTAATCTATGAGCTGTATCCTGCTTGCTGGACTCAGAAGTACAGGAAATGTGCTAAAGCCCAGACAATATTAACCTTTATGAAATGCAGGAGTTTAGTCGGCTTCTTTGGAGCACAACAGAAAAAAATATGATACTGATTTGTTTTTTTTTTTTCCTGGGAAAGACCTTTTTCTCTTCCTGGTTCTGTTGGTATTAATTACACTTGCTTCCTCAGACTTTGCTCCTGCTTAGACCCATCCTCCCTGGGCATCTTCCTTTTTGAGATATTTGGAATGGGCAACACCATTTTTCAGTGTCATTCTTAGACCTTCATTGAAGTAAGTTTGTGTTCAGTGCTCCATTTCATTATTTTTGAGAGATATGTTCTTCTGCAGTTTGGTAATTATAATGCATTAGCATTATAATGCAGAAGCATTTCAATCTTGTAAGAGTTGCACAGAAAGTTTAAAATGCTTGTAATGTGCAGTAGAAAAGCACTAAAAGTTCATGATACTCTGCAAAACACAGAAAAAATAGATTTCAAATAACAAGGAAATACCCGTAAGTTGCCTGTAGGAGCTACTATAATAAACCACTGTGGAATAAAGGGCATTCATTTAATACAAATCAGGAAAATTATATAGTGTGGTGTGGGAATATATTATGCCTTGGTTGATAATGAAGAAGGACGAATTAATCTCCTCCAAAGTGATTTGTTCTGTAAGTTACTGGTAAAACTAAAGAGAATGAAGATAATATGTAGCACTACAATAATGAGGAAAAGATGTTTATGAATAGGTGAAGTCAAGGACTTTAGTTTCTCCTGTGGTTTCTTAATTTGGGTGTGGTTTAATTAAATGATCTTCAGGATTTTAAAAACAACTGCTTTGTGTGTCACTGCGGAAATCCATTTTCTCTCTGAGCAGCCAATAATAACAATACCATTACAGAGTCCCATTTCTGAATAACGCTGACTGGAAATACTGCTCCATGGTAGATGCTTATTCCAGTTGAAGCCTTTCTGCATCAGCTGGTTAGTGCTCCTCTGTCCACAGGGCTTTAGGGTCCTCTCTGGCACAGCTCATGTTAGGTACAGTTTCAGACTTTTATATTTGTATATAATCTTCAGCTTCCTAGGAAGAATCCAGGATCAAATTTGATTCAAGGGAAGCTAAAGAAGGAAATGGCTGGTGTGCTAACACTACCAATAATAAGCATAAATATATAGGAAAATAATAAGTAGGTAAAGATTATTTGGGATTAAGTAAAAATTATGTATTTTGGAACTGCCAGTGAGAATTTTACCATTCTCACTTTTGCCATTTGCAAGACATCATGTGGTGTTATGCATGTCATTTGGAATATTCATGATCTTTGGACCCTTCCCCAAAGCCTGGGAAAACCTTGAACTCAAATACCATGATTAATCTGTTATGATTGAGGTTTGCTGTCCTGAAACATCTTACTGCGTGTTCTAGAACCTTAGCCTGTGTGAATGCCTGTCCCTGCACAGCTCCTGGTGTGCGATTCTGACTGTGCTGATTCAAGCATTTGTCAACTAAGCACTAATTTTTTCTAGTGTGTTGTTACACATCAAAAATCTGTGCCCCCTCTTTGGAGGGATCCTAACTTCATTTGAAAAGTTGTGTACCCCAGTGTCAAGGTTCAGTGTTATTGTATATGAGCAATTATTTGAATGGATGGAAACAATAGTTGCTGCTGTTGGTTGAGTCTGGGGGGCTGTAGGGCTGTTGCTTGCAGGCTCTGAACCTGATTAAAAAATTAAATGTAGAAGATAAGGGGAGGAACATGGGTGTGAATAGCATTGAAAAAACAATGGGTTTAACTCAGTCTTCTGTTGGTGGTTTTTTTGCCTGGCACATCTGTAGTTTTCAAGGGACAGTGGTCAGGAAATGCTTGTGGCAGGATTGTGTGTGTTCCACACCCTGAGGCCAAGAGAAAGTCCCAAGTTCTGGTAATGATTTACTCTGAGCTAAGTATGCTGCTCATAACTTAGCGAATATAAAAGACTAATATCGACAATTTACAAAGATACTGAGGTGTAGCTGAGTTTGACTGTTCCTGTGTCTACAAAGTTCTATTATGTTTTCAGATTCTAAGGTTTAAAGATCGTCTTCCTAAGTGATTGTAAGAAATAGATGCAGCTGAAAGCCAGAGAAATGTAAGTCCTCCTTTGATCCAACCCACCTGCCTCGTTAGGCCATTTGGGCTTTCCATTGCACTTCACAGTTACTGCTGTTGAGGCAAAGTTTAGAAAGCAGCGTTGCTGAAGATGTGGTTATCATGACAGATCTTCTTATGCTGTCTTCTTTAGTTTTTACTTTCTCCTTTTCTCTGTTTTCTCCTTTCTGACTCCTCTCTCATGTTTTTCTTTTTCCTCCCCATTTTCCCTGCTCTGCCTGTGTGCACAGGATGGAGTTCAAGATCTCCCGCAGTGGAGGAAGAAGCTGCTCTTTCCTGTGATTCTAAAAGGAGTTAATCTAAAAGAGGCTTCCCAGCATGTTCATGCAACAGCATGTTGGTGATAAACAGGCTGCTGATGTGGTGTGGTCAAAGTTTGTCTCCCTACTGGTAAGGTAGGAGGGTCAGAATTATAAATTCTGCAGGTCAGCTTAGTGCTGAACTACTTGGGCCTTGCATTTTGCTATGAAAACACACAGTGCACTTTGCCTCTTCCTATTCCAGCTGCCTTACAAGCACTGAAGAGGAAAAAGAGATATGAGAAACAGTTGAGTCAAATTGATGGGACGCTTTCGACCATTGAGTTCCAGAGAGAGGCATTGGAGAATTCCCACACGAACACAGAAGTGCTCAAGAATATGGGTTATGCTGCACAAGCTATGAAAAAAGTACATGAAAATATGTAAGTGCTTTCTAATAGCTTCCAAGCTGAGCTTACTGACCACTTTCAAACTATTCCATCACTGCAGACTGTTGTATCAAGTTAGACAGTTTTTACTTCATTTTTGGTTCAGGCATCTAATGTTAGGAATGCTATTGGTGCTGTAGGGTTATATTTGGCAAAAAAAATCTTTTCTTAACCTCAGCTCTAGAAGGAAGTTCACTTAACTAGTGAGATCTGTGTTACCTGTTTTTTTTTTCATCTTTCTTGGCAGTGGAGACTGGCCTCTGCCCTTGGTTTGTCCAGAAGAAAATTTAGTTATAGAAACTAAGTGAACTCTTTTCCTCAGAATCTATAAGCTGGACTGTGGGATCCAAAGTACTAGTTAGACCTGAATAAAGATATGACACAGACAAAAAAAATTACCCCTTTTTTTTTCTTTTCTATGTCCTATATTGTTTCAAGGGGTGTTTTCCTGCCTGAATAAACAGAGTTAAATCAGGTTTTTCTGGAAGAAGCAAACAGGAATTGAAACAATAATGAAGTTAACAATAAGGGGAAGCCTTTAAATGGGGTGCAGTTCTCTTAAGTTGCCCTCGGTTCTAGTGAAAGCTTAACATCAAAAAAGATCCATATAATCATAGAATAGATTGGGTTAGAAGTGACCTTTAAAGGTCATCTTTTCCAGACACCCTACAGTGAACAGGGACATCCTCAACTAGATCATGTTGCTCAGTCTGTCCAGCCTGACCTAGAATGTTTCCAGGGATGGAGCATCCACCACCTCTCTGGGCAACCTGTCCCAGTGTTTCAACACCCTCAGTGTAAAACACTTCTTCCTTGTGTCAAGTCTAAGTTGACCCTCTTTTAGTTTAAAACCATTACCCTCTGTCCTGTTGCAACAGGCCCTGCAAAAATGTTCATTGCTATCTTTCTTATAAGCTCCCTTCAAGTACTGAAAGGTCTGTAAAGACGCTGACCTTGGGGGATCTGCCCAGGGGTGTGACTGTTGCCTGGCAGAGGTCTGAGAAGCCCAGAGGGGTAGAGAGACACACTCTGCTGCAACTTAACTTTTGTTATAATCCCAAAGTGGAAGAAGTTGAATTGGCCAAAGCACTCAGAAGCTTTTAGTGTAGGCATTAAGGTATGGGTGAGGAAAATTATTCCCTGTGAGTTCTGCTGTTTATACCGCCATGGGCATAAAAAGAAAATAGTCTGTTCCAGCGAGTCTCTTCTCTAGGATTTGAGTGATATATATTTAAAAATATATTTCCATGTTATCTTTACAGGGACTTGAACAAAATTGATGATTTGATGCAAGATATCACTGAACAGCAAGATGTTGCCCAGGAAATTTCAGATGCTATCTCAAACCGAGCCAACTTTGGTGATGAGTTTGATGAGGTTAGTACTTCTGGCCTGCGAATTTTAGTTATTAGATGACTCCATAGTTATTTGGTTGTGCAGTGGTTTGTTTCTTAATAGGTGTGGATGTGAAATTCCTTGGTTCTATCTAGGACAAGTGTATATTTTTTATATAAATATAAAAATAATTAAAATATTAATATATAAAATATATACGTAAAATATAAAAACTACTGTTATTTATATATAAATTTTAAGAAAAGCCTTTTTAACTACACTCCTGTAGTTGTTTTTCTCATTTGAACCATGGAAGGAGGAGATCACTGAAACATGTAATTTGTGCTACTCTAAGTGGACACTGAAACATATAATTTTTTGTGCTCCAAATAGACATCCATTTGACTAAGTGCAGTTCCTGCACCGTGAACAGGCTACTGTTCACAATTCTGAATATCTGGACCAATTTTTTAAGGTCATTTTTGGTGCTAGGAGATGCAGGTCCTTTACTTTTTTTTCCAGATTTTCTACAGAAGTAGATGCATTACACAGAAGTAATACCTGTTGGAAGCAATAAGGTTTCTTCCTTGAGCTCTTTTCTTCTGAAATGCCCACAAGGCATTTAGACCATTCTGAAAATTTGTTGCAGTAACTTCCATCCAGTGTCCCTGGATTTGGTTTTGTATTTCTAGGCACGTTATTACTTGTTTCTGATCCAACCATGGCTGAGGACTCAAGGGTCAAAAGTACTCAAAATTCTTGTGATCTTGTGATCAAAATTCTTGTGAAATGCAGAGCTTGGGATCAGGTTCAGTATCACAATCAGTTTGGTTTTGTTTTTCAGCTTTGTTGATTTGGGGTCATCAGGGATCATTTGAAGAATGTCCTGAATAATTAAACAATTCACTCTATCCCAAACTAATTTGTTCCTGTGTACCCAAATGAACAACAAAGAAAAATATAAATGTGATATCATACATATTTGCTTGATTAGGAGGAAGGGAAGGTTTCATTCAACAGTTATAATTTGTTGAAAATAGGAATAATTCCTTGTATTTTGTTCCCATTATCTGCTTTCCTGTTTTTCCACTTTGAATGCAAACAGACTTTTCAAGAAACATGTGCCATTACACTTGACTTGTATGAACAGGGCTTCAAACATTTGAAAAACATACTGCCATCCCAAGCAGCTGTTCAGTGTCTTACTTTTCATCAGTGCTTAACTTTTGGGGGCCTAGCCTTAGTAAGCATGTTTTAGATTGATCTGAAAGTTCCTAAGAGATACTAGTCAAAGTTGATGTGCATGGTTCCTGTTCTGGGACATAAGCCACTGGCACATGGGACATCTTTGTACCAGCACCTGCTTTTGCATGGGAGCCTAATACTTACAGTACTTGGGCAGTAAGTGGAAATTCTGGTTTGCAGGCCCCTGCAGCTCAAGAGTGCTAGAATCAATGACTTAATTGCTCAGTTATGAGGTGATTTGTGTTGGAGGACGATATTTAATTTTATTTTTTTGGAGGACATTTTGACCACACACTTGGATGCATTTTCTCTTCACACACGTGCCTTGGATGTAAGGAGATCATGGAAGCACGTGATTTCTCCTGCTCCAGACAGGCACAGAAACATAAGGGTTCTTCCTCCCTGGGTTGACACAGTGGGTGTCACGAAGAATGCAAAAAAACTCTGTCCTGCCTGAGTAGGATGCTCTCTGGGAAGGGTGATCCTTGCCTGGAGTCCTGTTTCTGATAATCAAATGTGAAATACACACCATCCGGTGGACAAAGCCTGGAAACTGCAAGTTCACATGGTATCTTCCCTCTTCCTGCGCCGAGGCCTAGGTTCAAGAGGAGAAAGGGAATTTGCTGTAGCTATTGAAATGCTCCACAGCCTACTTGTAGAGCAGTTTTTGAGTTGTAGGAAATTAGGAGCTAAGTCTATTCTTGAGGATTAATAGAAATTAAAACTAGAGTCTCCCACTTTAAGAGCAAAGCCTTGACATTATTATGTTAAAGGTGTAGGCTCATGATCATTGTTTCCTTCACCTCTTTTATAAAGAATGCTTGTCATGACTGACATTTCCTCTTAATTGTTTCTTCTTCAGCAGAGGTTGGAAAGGACTGATTTGCATGGGAGGGGGTTCGATGACCATCTAGAAATTTTCAGAAATACCTGTTGCCATTGACTTTACAACAGCTTGGACACTAACTTTTTAAGAAGCTTGTATTCACAGCACTGACTGAGGCACCTAAAGTCCAGGCAGTTTTGCACCTCAACTAAATGCTTAAGTAAAACAGGGGGCCCCAACTTGCACTTTTCCTTGAGAGATCAGCTGTGAATTGATCATCATCAGGTGTAGACCTGATGCTGAAATTTTTAGATCATATCCAAGGATTTGCATTGTAAACTAGGCCAGGTAGGCAAAGTGTAGCCCTTTTTTGGCTGTAAATTATAAAACCATGAGAAAGTAAATCTAGGTAGGAAGGCCTGTGATTGCTATGTAACTACCATTTTAAGTTTTGCATTAGTGATAAACAAAGTATAAATGTGTAGGCAAAGCCTATTTCACAGACACGTTTTCCTCAGCCACTTTTGCCCATTGTTTCTTTTGAAACCATTTTATCAATGTGGCAATGGTCCATTTCTCTACAAATAATGTAACATTTAGCTTCCTTTCTTTGGGAAACTCCAGCCAAGGAGCAGGTTCTTTGCTTTTTAAAGAAGTGTACAGCTTTTTTATTTTTAGCATTGTACAAGTGGATTAGATATCTGTTCAAATTAGCTTCTGCGACTGAAAGCCCAAGAGTGTTGTGTGCTTCAGGAGTGAAGAGCAGGACCCAGAGGACATTTCTGATTCCAGTGCTGCTTTGCAATTGTATATAATCCTGGACTTGTGTGATAAGGCTGAACTATAATGTTTAATGGCAGTCTACCGTATAACCAATGGAACCTGTTTGCTTTTTAAAATGGGAGAAATCGCATGTTAAAATTAGAATCCATTGAGGAGTACAGTATCTAGATTTCTAACAAACCAGAGGACAGCAGAGAAGCTTTTTCCCCACTGTGTTTTTGACAAGTACTGTACTGCTGTCAGTTTTGTTTCTAATTTTGTTCCTTGTCCTGTTTTTAACTTCCACTGTCCTCCTTTCAGTGTTCAATTAAGGTTTATTGTTATTGCCTATATTTAGTAAAAATTATACTTTTAATTTGCTGAGTTTTGATATGTGTTTTCAGGTGTAAATTGTTTCTTCAGTAGTGCTTTGCTTCATGGTGTTTAAATGTGCCCTTGCCTCCGATCCCTGTCAGTGCAATGAATTTATAACTAATGTTTTCCTTGAATTTAGGATGAGTTGATGGCAGAATTAGAAGAACTGGAGCAAGAAGAACTGAACAAGGGAATGAGAGATGTCAGGTTGCCAAGTGTTCCGTCCACATCGCTGCCTTCTCGCCCTGGTAAACTGCCTGCTTGCCATTTTACATTGCTCATTATTAAATCATGCTGTGAGGAAGAAGAGAGGAAGAGAGAGTTTCAGACATGTACTTAACTCTGTTTTAACTATTTAAGTGTTAGAAATTCCTTTTCTTACTTTTGTATCTGTTTAACAGAAAAAGCAGAATGTAAATCTGTTTTTCTCTGTAAAAGCATTTAGGGCTAAATGCTCTGTAGATTTGGGGAGACAAACTCAGGAACTTGACCTTGCAGATATACTGATGAATCTCCAACTGAAATGTAGTGAGATTATTGAGGAATGGGAAGACACTTTTTTTTTTGGCAATTAAATCCTTAGTCTCTTTTAATTAGAGCCTGACCTAGATTCAAAATGTTAGCATCACAAAGATCCAGCTTTGTGGGGTAGTGGTTTGATATTTGCCACTGGTGTTTTAATTAGAAATGAAGGAGGCAGCAGGAAGCACACATTTAAAGAAGTATTTTCATTCCTTTCCTTCCTTTCTACTGAATAGGCTTATTCCTGTATTAAGCTGTAGTCTTATTTTTCGATAATTCTGCCTTGTTCATTTTGAATTAAGCCAGAGAAAGTCAACTTTTACTCCACCTTTCACCATATCCCCATTATCCTCTATCAGCTGAAAGACTTGCTGTGTACTGGGGCTAATAAAAGAATATAAATATTTGATGGTAAGGACAGCACACACGTGACACAGGTTGTTTATGGTGTGTTCTGCTGCAGAACAGGTTACCCATGCCAGCTCAACTCAGTGAGTATTACATGTGTTTTGGCAGATGGCATTTGAATCCTGAGAAGTAGTTTCAAACATTCAGACTGAGACTGTGGCCTCATCTACAGAAGTCAATTGCAGAACAGCTAGTAAAAAAAAAAAAAAAATAAAAAATTTAGAAAAGCGGTGCAAATTGCGCTCTGGTCGATTATGGCTCATTCATGCATTGTCTTCCAGATCCAGCTATAGCAGTTGACATTTTTATTAAACCCAGGCCATCTCCATGTACTTCTCACTATGTTAATTTTCTACTTCATCTGTCTGTATGGTTACTTCAGGCAAAATTAGCTGGTTACGGTTATATAGTTAAACACCTTGCAAAACTGGCTTATGTTTTCTGAAACTCGGTGCCTACTGTTAGACAGCAACAGCAAAATCAGTACAGTTAATGGACCTATAATGCTTCTAATTGGAGATGCATGTTACCCTCCTGAGAAGATGAGGAAACTGTGAATGGAGCAAGGCACAGTGACCTTCCCCAGTCACACAGTGAGCCAGTGGCATTTACAGAATAGGGACAGGACCTGTGGTCTCCCACATCCTTTCCCTGAAGGTGGTAGCTGCAGTCCCCCCACCTTACCCCACAGCTTGGTGGCTTCTGACCCTGTGGCTGCTGCAGGCAGGAGCCAGCTGGCTGCTGTAAAGGTGCACAGGAGGGTGTGGTGCACCCAGCAAGTGCTCCCAACTGGTGTTGGGAGAGGTGCCAGTCCTGACACAGCCCACACACAGATGGAGACAGCCTGAGATTGAACCTGGGCTGTAGGGCATCTAGTTTGTAGGTCAGCAAATCAAGGCTATTTGGGCAAGGTTTTAGTTTGGTGAATGCAGATGTGTGATAGGAGATTTGGGTGCAAAAGGAGAAAGTGTGTGTGGGACCTGATACAGAGCTGGGGGTTCCTGATGCTGTGAACACAGTAGTTAACTGGTGTCACCTGAGCATAGTAAGTTCAGGAATTTCTTTGTCCCTTTTAATAAATGACACCTCCCTTTAAAATGGGGTGAGTTCACCTGGAGACTGGACTCGCATATACAGAACCTTTCAACCCTATTTGGAAAGGTAGGAGGATGTGCAGCTGGCTGGGGTAGGTCACTTGTGCCTGTTTACATGGTGGTGAGAGAACTGGCAGCATTCCTGTGGGTACTTTCTGTCTGTGACAGCTTTTAGAATGTGTTTTCTGCAGGAGTCTTTCAGCAGGAATTACATCAGACCTGTATTTTTAACCTCAGGGTTATGTGTGAGATAATGGTGAGGCAAAATAGTCACATCTCTCATGAGCTTCATTCCTGCATTATCCATGTTCAACTTGCTACTCAGTAAATTGATCTGAGATCTTCAAACTGAAAAGCACTATGCAAGTCCTCATGCTAACAGATAAAATGGTTCTGACTGTTACATTAGTTGATGGTTATTGTCTTTTTCTTTGCAGCATCAACCAGGAGGAGAGCAGAGGATGAAGATGAAATGAAGAAGCTGGCTGCCTGGGCTTCATAAGAGCGCAGTCTTTTATAACTCTGTGCATTATGGTGCAAGTGTAAAGAGCTATAATGCTGTTTTATAACCTTACTGATTTAGTGTGGTTGCACTTCATACAGGCTGAGTTTTTTATGGCTGATCTTACTAACAATACTGTTACTGCCATATTACAAAACTACTTTAAAAACCAGCAAACAAAAATTGAAATAGTTGCCAAAAGCTCCAAGCATCAAATTTTTTTCAGTGTCGGTCAGAGATTTGTTTTGTTATTAGTGAGAATTTTTATTTTTTTTTTAATTTATATTTTACCATATCTTCTGGTTTGTAAAACCTATGTGCCTCCCTTATACAGAAATCTGGATTCATTGTTGAAATGAGAAATTTAAGTAAGTCATCAGGGCCCTATACTAAGGGGTTATTTGGTTCAGACTATTTGAATAGTAGCTGTTTTCAGCTTTATACATGCCCTGACTTGCAAGTTCCTTTGAGCCTATGAGCTAATAGCTGTTTATTTGGGCAGGAAGCTCTCCCTGGAGCAGCTTATGGTGTCTTAGATATTAAGAGGAGACTCTTCTGTAGGTTTTTTGAAGTGGGATAGGTTATTTGTTTTGTTTAAACTGGCAAAAATATCCCACGTACTTCTATAGGTCAGCTTGAATTGCATTTTGAACTATTTCCAACTTGGTTGTAGAATTACAGTGATTGAGGAAAATGAAATGTCCAAGTTCCTATATATTCCTGCCAAACAAAACTGATTTTCATTAGCTCTGTCAAAAATTTAGAAGAGATTTCTGTCTATTTTTCCTCTATCTTGTCTTTCTAGGGTGAGTCTTTACTTTGCATGATAATACTCATCCTCAAAGGAATTAGTAACACATTTTTAATGATACAGTTTCAAAATAGTTCTAATTTCTGAGCATTCAGGTCTTTTCTATTACTCAGTTTATGAATGGAAATAATACCAGTGCATAGCATTTGAAATGCCTTTTTAACTCTAGTTAAAAGTTGATGAGTTATTGCCCAACTGACAGTTTTTTAGCCTAAGGAACAAATGGCACTCTTGAGTGCTAAACTACCGCATATATGGGAAATCACTGTTCAAATGCCAGCCAAAAATTAAATAGGCTGCTTTGTACTTACAAAGTTTATTTAATAAGACCGAAGCTTTATGCTAGCAGACTGATGTCAATCACAAGGAAATAGTAAAACACTGGGGTTCCTAGGGGTGTAGGAAGCAGAGTCCTTGATCTAGGTTTCTTATTTTCAAATGAATTTAAATTTTACTGATGATTGAACCACTTGGTGAATAGTGGGACATTTAGTTTCTCTAGATCGGTAGCAAAAGAACACTGACCCCTTCTCCTGCAGACTGTAGCCTGTGATTTGTTGGGTGTTTAGCTTTGACAAGCTACAATAGGTTCAGTGTAGTGGATTTTGGGTTAAGCATAAGGAAATGTGTGTTTCTGCACATGGCATACTCAGAACCTTTCAAGATGAGTTCCATGGATGAAACCCAAAATGTATAAACCCTGTGGAAAGATTCAGTTTGTCAGGACTTTCATTATCTGTGGTGGAATTGCTTTTGGTTTGTATGCATAGGAAAGGTGAATCAAACTTTGCCACTTTGGATAAATTTCCTATTGGAAAAAATTAAGTGTGTGAACTCTGTCCTAAATTTTGGAGGTACTAGGAAAATTGTCTGGGGTTTTTTGTGAGTAAAGAAAATCTGGAACTATTAAATTTTTGGTTTAAAAACAAAGCAGAAAAAGAAAGAAGGAAAGGAAGAAAAAACTGCCATAAATTTAAAAATACATTTTGAACTTTCAGTAGGAAACCAAACACTAACAGAATGTTACTGGTTTTGATGCTTGATGAAATTCTGGATGAAATGCCGGCTGAAAGCAGTATTATTTTACAAAATAACAGATATTCTGAGTTATTTCAAATCCATTTGCTAGTTTTTCTGGCTTGAATCCTGTTTTCAAGGTGTGCAGTCTATGCAAATGTCCGAATTGGGTACAGAATGTATTAGCATGCCCTGGTTGAGTCACCATGCAAGGCTGGCCGTGTGCACACTTGTGGTATTGCTAAATACGGGGCTGTGCCAACATAGTCCCATGGTTAGCTTGGAAAAGCTGGCTTTTAGCATCTGTTCTTGGCCAAATTAGTAGTTTACCAATACTTGGCACTTATGTAGCACTTGGCATACTTGAAGCTCTCTGCAGCCTAACCAAAATAGGTCTATTAAGCCTCCAGTTTGAAACTGAAGTGACTTTCAGTCTGCTTTGGAAAATGTGGACCTGCTGGTTTTGTGTAACCATTTTCCATATGAACACCCTTCACAGGGGAGAAAAAATCCTAGGGAAGGTCTTGTCCTTTGCAAGACAGCGTCTGATTGCTGATCTCCAACGATGTTTTGGCCAAGTGTTGATCCTGGGAAGCTTCAGGTGTCTTCAGCTTATTGATGTCAGACCAGATGCTTGAGGAATGACATTTATGAAGGTGAAGAAATTAAATTGGTCATTCGCGTGAGCTGCTCTGCAAGTCTGTGTGTAGAGGCTGTTGATTCCAGAGGACAGAGTCACGTACCAGTTCACAGGCTAGGACGTGTGGTTGGTAAAGCTACACTCAGAAACACTATAATGATACACACAAACCAAAATTCACCAGGGACCTCCAGAACTGAAGTGCTTGTTGCTGTATTTCTTTGGGAGATTGGTTTTCTTCAAAGGCAAAGGGGATCTAGGAATTTAATTCAGCTGAGGGAGTGGCTCTTTCCTGTGTAAATTCAGATAACACTGGGACAAATGGCCCTTTATTTTTGTGAACATATGTCTCACTTCATGTCAAGATGGTATTTGTTCAGTATGTAAGCAGTCGAGGGTGAATAATGTCACATGTTACTGTAAATGTATTCTCTATTAACTGGAACATATTTTACAAGAGGACTGTGACAAGAGGACTGTGGCAGCAGATGGTGTACTATAGCTGACTTCCTTTCTTGTTCCTTATTTATTTTGAAAATGTTTACTTCTCGTAACAGGCTTGGACATTTTTAACCTGGATAGCTTTAAAAAGGTGAAAATATATTAATAAATAGTGAAAATAATTAATATATATATGTAGCAAATAAATATTTGAGTGTCATGTTTGTTTTACATGGTTGCATTAAATTTCTCTTCCTATTAGGCAAAAGTGTAAGTACCCTCCTTAAGTCTAAGGATACAGTGCTCTTTAGATGATATGAGAATATTCATAAACACTTTTTTTTGATGTATTGATCTTTCATCAGGCTAAAATTCAAGAATTCTTCAAAGGTGATTTGGTTGATAAAAACAACCAACCAACAAAAAACCCCCACCCCAGTGTATGCTGTGGTGTTTGGGCTCCATTCCTTCACATTTAACAGTTGTGTTGTGAGAGATTCTTTTATTTTAATGTGCCCAAAATACCTTCTCCCCACCTCTGACCCAAAGATCTCATCGTTTCAGAAGTATTGTGTTTCACTTTCCAGGGCTTAGTTGAAAGGAGGAATGATCAAGTCTTTTAAACATAAAAAAAGAAAAAAATACTATAGGCAAATATGAAGTGACACAAATAAAAAATGCATTTTTTTCGTGCATCTCATTAGAATCTCCTTAAAGGGTGTGTGTACAGTGTCTCCCATTTTATATACATTCATTTATACACATGTATAAAGTGGTGGAGCAGTGATTTGAGACCACTGATCATTGTCTGGTGTTGAAAGATTTCAATTGTTTTGGCAGCTTGTGTTTGACTGTAAGTCCCTAAGGTGTCACAAAATATCCAGTGACTGCTGCAGCATGTACACATGCTGGCTGCATATATGGCTGTAGGGGGTGGAAGAACGAGTTGAGTGTGCACAGGGAATATTTGCAATGAGAAGATATCACAGTTTTTCATGATGTAGAGCTTATATTATTTTAATGATGTATTTTTTTGGAAACACGAGGAAGCTTTCGTCTCAGAAATGATTTAATAGCAGGGATTAGCTTGAACATCTTAAGAAATTACAAATACTGTAATCTCACATAGCTGCCCTGTTTTCTCACATCTGTCCCCATTGCAGAGACTGGCAAGACCCACTGTCATAGCACTGTTCAGTCAGCTGTATATTGTAGGAAAAATGTACCTGGTTCATGTCACTTTGTTCGCAGTTCAAGTGGTTTATTGTTTTGTTATCAACATGCAATTTACCTGGCTGTTGCTGAACTATACACTTGGGATCAATATCTGCCAATAAAGCTAGAAGATAAAGTTATGAAATGTTAATGTGTGACTAGAAATTCCTGAATTACCTTGTAGAGTAGGATGGCTGTGTCTGGCAGGGTCACACTGGCCCCTCTGCTCCCCTCCTCTACCACACTCTACACATCCTTGTGTTTTTATGTTTTGTTTGTGTGTCTGCCTAGATGACTTTCCCTCCCTGCAACTACAGTCTTCTGGTAATTCCCCAGCTGCTGTGTAATAGAGTTGATTGTTGTCTTCCTCTTTGCCAAGGTCAGCTTCAGGCAAAAGCTATCTGGGAGAGGATGGGTGAGGGACAAGCTCAAACCCTTTACACCCCTGAGCTGCCTCACCAGCCGGTGCCACACAGGCTGTTTTTAAGGCCAGCAGGGCAGTAGGTACCCCCTCAGCTAGCTTTCTCAAAGAGCAGGCAGCTGCTTCTCCTAGGATTGAATGGCAGGGTGTGTTAAGTCGAGGATCTGTGGCTTGTGAGCTTTAATAAAATAGGTGGGAGGCCAGTTGGTCTGAGCTGGTGGTCTGTTTCCATGGAGGTAATGAATGTTGATACCTCCCATTGCTCTGACATCAGCATTTGCAGATTTACTGTTTTAAAAGGGGCAAGGAGTGTTTTGTGGGTTCAAACAGGATTTGCATGGACAATCCCCCCATCTCCATTCTGAGATAGACACTTTCATCAAAAAATAAAACATTTGCTTTAGGAGGACTATGAGTCATCAGATATATTTCATACGTAAATATATCCAAATGTCCTAGCTTTACTTTTGTGATTGGACTCAGCTTACCCAAGGGGCTGGACTAACCAGAGGCAGCTAGGACTGCCGACCTATAGGTATTATGTATGGTTGTTG